TATTTTTTAAGACTATTAATTAATGTAGGGTTCAATTAATAAGACGTTATATTATTCAACATATAGATAATAATAGGTATTTTTTTGTAACACTAACAGCTTTTTTAATATGTACTTTAAGTATTAATTCAGTCAAGTGCGAGTCGCACCTACGCACAGAGAGATCCGTTTCAAGAAAAAAAAATATGTACCGTTTATATGTAAATACAAAGCAGACTGGTTTCTTGAATAGTTCTATTACATTAAAGGTAGTATTTGAAACTCCTAGTGCGAGTTCGATTCCTTCTTGCGTATATTATTTATTCTTTTACGTTAAGGTTAGATAAATTCTAACATGCCAGATATGTGACGGCTAGTAGTTTTCTATTAAATAATTCAAAACAAACATTTTCACAAACCAAGCGTTAACGTTTAAGCAAAGTTTTATCAAATTTATTATGTAATAGGAAGGGTAAATAAAAGACTATTATATAAGTACTTAACAAACACTTTAATTTATATAACAATAATAATTATCAAAATAACTACAACATTTCATTGGCGTGCTGTTCTTTACATACATACATACGACATCAAGGATTAATTTTACATAACAGTTTAAGCAACATTTTCTAATTCCAGATAAAATTTTAGACTCAATATTTTGTCCAATTTTATTTATATTTTCAAATGATGACCTCTCATATTTATTTTGATAATATACAATAAATAACGTAGAGTTGTTAATTCTGCTCGTTATATCACTTCTGTAAAATTTTCAACTCTATGGTCGCCATAAAAAGCTGTGGACTCGAATAAGTCCACTAAAACTTTATCTGGAAAAAGATTCTAAACAACATAAATCGGAAATTCTAAGGAATCTGAAGTTTATTTCTAAGAGATAAAACTACTAGGAATAAGAAAATGTATAGAATAGAATATTTTATTACATCATAATAAATAGGTTTATTTGCTAATTTAATTTGATACATTATCTATTTGAGTTATGTTCGGTGCTTTTTTACTGTATCATATAGTATTTTATATATATTGTATTTTTGTTCGTACATTGTTAACAAAATGTAAAGAAAATTAAAACAAAAATAATTTGACATAAAGCGTAAATTTTGTAGACTTATAATATTAACTTTTGATATATTTCTTTGTTCAAAGTATTATAAAATAAATTTTCATTAGAATTACTTACTATATATAATGTCGCAATATTTAAATAAATTAACATCTTATACAATACAACAATGGTCTAAAGCCCATGATCGAGTCAACGACCATACCAGTCGTAGTCCGATTTAACAGTAGACTATTGTAGCAAATGAAGTGGAAAATTTTCAGTAATATCTTTAACATTACTAATATTCCTTTAAAAAAAATATAAAGCTTATGGAAAATAAGTAATTAAGTTCATTTTCAAATGGGAATACAACTCTTTCAAAAAAATCGAAATTATGCAACATTTTAGTATTACTTACAATGACTTCGCCGAATTTTTAAATGGCTGTCAAATAGTTTTGACTTTTACTTTTTTTAAAGAGTTATTAATTTTATAGCAAAAAAAGAAAATAATTAAAGAAATGATACATTTTATTCTTTTTTTAAAACGCCTTTGACCAGTTTTATAGCAATTTCATTTTCACTTGACAAACTTTAAAACACAAATCGCAGGAATATTGTGTCAGTGAATACTTTGTAGCAGTCTGATATTTTAATAAAACTTTATAAAACTCTTGTAAAAATATTTACGCGTTAACTTGTGACTTCCGTTTTAAAAAAATATTTAAAAATAACAAAAATATGAATCATTTAGCTTATTTCATAATTCGATGTATGAATAAAACAGTTTATATTGTGTATATAATTATAACTTTTTTGTTTAAGCGGACGGCATTTAACTGAATAGAATCTGTGGCAAATAAAACGTGTAAATAGCGTCTCTGTAATTAATATTTAAAGTAAATTAGTAAGATATCGATTTAATAAATTATCAATAAAATATGACTAAAACATAAACATTTAACAAGCGTAAATTTTTTTTCTGTTTAAATTTAATAATATTTACGATTTTAAATTCAGAAATATATTTAGGTAAAGGTTAAGGATAGCATTTTTTTTAAATGGTTTTTTAAAATTGTTATACATTTGAGATGTTTTTAAGGTGAAATATTAACTATAGAATGTTCTGCAGTTTTTATAATACTATTTTTATTTAATACAAATTTTAGAGAGAGATAGAAAACAACTACAGATATATACGTTTAGAAAATCTAAAAAGATAGAAAGAGATAGAGTAGAAAATATTCTAATATAAATAAATTCGAAATGAAGATTGGTCCAGAGAGATATAAAACTGTGAAAATGAATATGAAATATTGTAAAAATTAAAACTGTAAAACATATACCTATTAGTCAAAAATTGATTATTATTTAAAATGAACTTTTAATTACTTGTAATATTATTATGTTGTGTTAAAACGATTTTTTATATTCCTTGTCTAAGTTACTCTATATCTTTTAGTGTCCAATAACTTTGATCATAGATTAATAAGCAAAAAAGAATAGGCATCAGGTAATGTATAGTTCTCATGGTTTAAAATATGATATATAGATATTTTTATTTATTAGTTATTATTATTCTATGTGCATTTTCTAACGTCGACTTCTATAGTGTCTTCTATTCATATTTACTATGTATCGTAAAGCGTATGATCTTTTCTTTGACAGCTCTTAATTAGCTATTTTAATGATAGGCAGTTGGAACTCATAATAAAATAAATATTATAAAAAAATAGTTAAATGTCATTAAAATAAAAAGATTTTAGAGTTTTTAATAGAGTTAGTTAAACTATGTGAAGATTTATAATATAAGGTATTTCAATTAAAAATTATTTAACGGCATTATGTTTGGATATTTTTTGAAATAAATGTATAAGTAAATAAATATTAGTCGTAGATTATCGATTATTATCGATTACAAAAGCATCACTTTTCAACAAACGTAACTTTTGATCTGAGAAAGTTAGAACAGCATCATATGTTACATACATACATAAATAAATAAATTTCCTATAACAAATAAACGATTACATTACATTATAAATAAAAACTTAAATATTATAAATACAAGGGCTTCTATACCAACAAACAGACGCGATATCATATATCTTAATATATAAAAATCAAATAGCATTTCGCACTATATTCTAAATAATATTTATACGCTTATATACAACACTAATATATTAAACACATAGTGACGTCACATGGTATCTTTGATAAAAATAAATTTTAATTAAATCTATCGATAAGCTGTCTTTATCACCTATAATGGCTCAGTTAATTATAAAACATTTTATTTTTAAACTTCAAGTACACATCTATTGTAGTTTTTAAATTATAGCAATAATGCATATGTTTTGAGTTATTTATTATAAATATTTTGATAAGAAATAACTATCGTATTTTTAATAAATAAACATTTATTAATTAATAAAGTAAGAATATCTAAATAACGGTGTTGTATAGAAATATTGCTAATTTACCAACTCATTCGAGGCTTCTTAAATTTTCCAAGTCTTTTCTGTTCTGTGGACACTAAGATGTCAGGTGCAGATTCAAGCGTTTACTTTGCAGAGTAAATAAAGAAAATTTCTCCGTCTTCCATGGCGATATGAAAACCATCGCTGTTATTTTTTACTACAATTTGGACTATGTCCATGCGGAAATCACACCTGTAACTTTATAGTACACTAAGTGCAACCGACCACGCGTTATTGTGATTTTATCTTTAGCGCTATTCTGTAAAAAATTTATGTAACACGACAACTGAATGTGCGATTATACATATTTCATACAAGTGTATGAAGCATGTTCGCTGATTCATCTATCGAGATACATTAAAGTTCTTACGGATTATCACTACTGGTTACATCTAGTGACGGGTTATAGGAAAATGCATAACTGATAATATTCTCTTGAAAAATAGCTATCCATTAATTTTTATGGCGTTTCGTTAGTCAAGTCCGTTGGCAGCGCCATCTTTTGGAGAGTTCAAAATAGATAGCAGAAAAAATATTTTAACTTCAGATTTTTATTTATTTGAATTATTTAAACAATTCACTATGGGTTAAATATTCCATAAATGTGCACTTGAAGTTTTTTCCTCTACGTAACAAACAATATAATTATTAAGCTTCTATTTTACTTTAGAACACACGACACAAATATATCTCAGTTAAAATGTAGCCCGTATTCGAAATTAATTTGCTAGTGATGTGCCAAGGTTTTATACGTCTTTATTTAACCAACGAAAACACTTCAACGAACGTATTACTTTAATTTTAAAAGTAGATTATAATAATTAAATAAATAAATAAACTATTTTTTTTTATTTTTTTTTAAATAAAACAAGTATCGACATAATATTTTATTAAATAAGATAAAAATTATAAATTGGGACATTACTAGCAAAATTTAATCTTATATATTTCGTATTCTATACGTTCAACTGGACTACAAATCCAATACACTTACATAAATAATAGATTTCTTTTGTTATTTACTTAGACCTTTTACCACAGCCTTCAAGGCTTATTAATGATATAAGAAATCTGTAAGAGAAACATTTATAGGAAGGGACATACAACAGACTAAGCCTGTACATTTGAGCACACCGCCTCATTTCTTGGAAACTTCTAGAACCTTCTATCTATACGCTAATGAACGCTATTACTATATTTTTACTATACTTTCACGAAAACCGCATCATTTTTTATTTAGTCAAGTCAATAATTTTAGTTAAAGACCGATGTTTACATAGGTTAAGTTTTTTTTAATAATTTTAATGACCACAGTTCAAAATTTTATTTAATGAGAATAGCATATAGAGTAAGCTACCACTTAATTTTTTTATTATTTTAACTGAGCTAAGTAATGAATAGAAGTTGGCAAATTCAAATGTTATGAATGAAGCGGCCCCGAAGCTTCAAGCGAAATACTAAACTTTAGAATCCCTTAATATAACCATAAGCTTCCAAAGTGGACATTGTGAGATATGTCAGCCATAAGGAGAAGAAGAACATAGAAGTTACAATTTTTATGCCACGAGGTCCTCCAAGCTCTCCACCAATAGATTTTCTTCTCCTTAAAACTAGTACTAAAACGGCGAGAGCTGCTTCTGAACAGAACATCGTGACGCTGAAGGCTAGACTGTGAACAACATAATAACTTAATAATTTGCTATAATAATTAATAAATGATAATAGCTCCCTGACCGATTTCCGTCACAGCGGCCAATGTCAATGAAAACTAGATGCGCAGGAGATATTATACACTAATGTACGCGCAGGCTCAAGTATTACTCCCTATTCCTGTCATACCCCAAAGGGACAACAATTTGACATGAGCAGTAAAAGATCACGCGCAGACCGACGCGACTCTTGCTGGGGGTGACATCCCGCCAATTTTCCATCTCCGAGCAAATACCACGAATTTCGTGTCATGAAAACAATAGCTGAACTAGGTCCGAGCCGGGACTCGAACCCAGGAACTAAGGTTACTTTATCGCTTTTCACTTACAGGAGTCGAACCCATAACCAGTCAATCTTAGCACAAATTTTTACCACTGTGGCATTGGGTATACATGTACTACATACGCTTTTAAATTTCTTAATGTATATTGAATAGAACATATTTCCTTTGAACTAGAAAATTTTAACAATCTTTGTCAATCGATCTAAGTGACTGAGTTAGAACTTAATGATAGTAGATTTGAAAAAGTTTTGTAAACATTTTTACAAATAGTGTTTATTAATATTGTTTTGATTATTTATACTTGTGATTCAAATATTCTATATATATATATAATTCTTCTGTGAGTGTGTATGTCACTGAACTTCTCTCAAACGACTGGACCGATTTTGATGAAATTTTTTGTGTGTTCAAGGGGATCTGGGAATGGTTTAGATTCACAATTTGAATAATAATTTTCATCAAAAAATTTATTAAAAAAAGTTTGAAATTTTCAAATTAAAGACGTGTAGACAGGACAACGTCTGTCGGGTCCGCTAGTATATATATATATATATATATATATATATATATATATATATATATATATATATATATATATGTTGTTTACTTTTACGCTAAATATAGAACTATTTACGAACAATATTTTACTTATAATCTATTTTGCTTCTATTATATTATTTTATATATAAATAAATATACATGTTCGTATGTTTGTCCTCTATGCGTTTCTAAGCCATTTATCTGATTTTGATGAAACTCTGGTGGTTATTCTGTATACATTTGTGAAGATTTCTGGCGCAAAAGAAGATTTTTCCTTCGAATGTTTATTTTTTATACGTTCTTAAACCATTCAAACTTAAGGAAATTGTGGAAGTTGCTATTAATTTAATAAACGAAGTACATAAGTCTATCTTTATGTTCCATGTTGATCATGATTATATTACATTTGACTAAATTTTAACCGACTTATATAAGAGAAGGTACTCAATTATAATAAAGTGTATTACTCGATATTTTCGTAAAGTTATCGATCGATTTTCATATATTTTATTACCGATAACAGCAAAATAATCACTTTCAAGTTTCAAAGTAATTTTCTAGTACCGTCTTTAATAAAAAATGTTTAAAGAAAACAATTAAACTTACTTTCCAGGTTCCACATGAAATTTCTCATTTTTACTCCAATGAACGATGGCCGCGACGGTCCAAGCGACACCGATGCCCAAGAACACGTTGACCGCATTAGAGCCTGTTACATTACCGACAGACGCGTCCGCATGTTTGTCTTGGATAGCAGCTACTTTACTTGCAAATGTGTCTGAAAATTTTATTATGTTATTGAACAGTTATGAAAAACTTGTTTTTAGTATAAAATATCAATGAATCTTAGTGACTTATGTAATAAATAACATAACTAATATAATAAATAAGAACTCTTATATGACTACCATATATATTTATAATATGTATGTATTTAAAGTTATATATGTGTAGTGTATCAACTATCTGGTACCCATAACGCAAGCCTCGTAGCGTACCATGGTTCTAGATGGTGCTGTGTGATAATGTCCAAACAATTTATTTATTTACTAGCATTTTCCTGCGGCTCCGCCTGCATATATCATATACTAAAACCTTCTCCAAAGCACGCTGCATCTTATGGTAGGAGTATTATTCCGATCGGTTCAGTAGATATCGCAGTATAACCGAACAAAAAAATCGGCTCTCCATTTATTAGTATAGATTTACATTATAAAACCAAAAATTTGTATGAACGTTTCGTATGTATGTTTGTAACCTACTTCTTCAGGTTGAAAAGGCTAGACGAAATTGGATGAAATTAGGTACACAGATAGGTTATAATCTGGAGTAGCACACGCTACCGTTAGTCTCCCAGGAATGCATCCGCATGAAGCTAAGTCGCTAGTATATTATGTATTTAACTTTACCTTCACTATGATGCGCTAAAAGAATATAAGAAAATTTAAATTCTCCGTTTTATAACGTTGCTTAAATTGACAACACACTTTTACATGTACGTACTTAAATCGTAAGCTTCCAATATTTTTATGTATTAATTATAGAAATTTAAGTAAAATGTAACAAAAATATAAAAGCATTTTTAAAATATCTCAACAAATGAAAACGTTATAAAACTTTAAAGTTGCTTGTAAGAATCATTTCATAACGTCACGCGAACTGAACAACCGACATCACGACGACTCAGTTATGTATTGATAAATTAAAACAAAAAACACTGATTTATTAGTTTTGACATATAGTTATTACCAACATTACGAAACTTCTCCATTCAATACATAACGTCTACCAAAGATTATAAAATATTAAATTAAAATAATAAGAAAGTATACACAAAAGTCATACCAGGTATACTAGTCCCCAGAGCCACAAATATTATGGCAGTGACCGAGTCTTTAATGCCAAGAGTACATCCAAAGTGTGATGCGACGTCTCCTATTACCGCCGTCACGAGACCAATGCAAATAATTGACACTACGAAGCAAACATATCCGCCACCGATATCTGAAAAGATGGTCTAATCTCATGAAAAACGGTTCAGCAATTTGATATTGACTTAGGAAATATAACTCACCTGTTGGTGGAACAAAGGCAAATATGATTTTCCAGAAGAGTGTGAATATATGGAGCACGTAGTCGAAGCAAGAGGGCGGCTCGTCAGGATTATCTAAATATAAGGAAAAAATATAATTAAACGTTAAATAACTGCTGCACATATATTACTTTAATCAATTATATTATTATAAATGCAAAAGTTTGTATGTATGTTTGCTTGTGACTCTTTGATTTATTATTTTGGCTTCACGTTTAGTTCTATGGCACTATCTATAATCTTTCTTAGTCGAAGTATATTATACGTACATATAAAAAATATCAATATTTTATTAATACAGAGGACTTATTAGTTGAGGATAATTTACTAACAATTAGTAATTTAAGAAAAAATATTACTACTAGGTTAGGGATAGAAAAAGCATTTGGTATGTCAATATTATTAAATAATTTCTGCTGTGTGATGGTTTTTAAACAAAACGCCATCTTAGAATAGCTCGTACAATGAAAAGATGTACGAGAACCGCCATAATAGCGAACCAACAGTCAAATTAAATTTACTGATCATCAAATAATCATAACAAATATAATCGTAAACCAATAGATAACATTTGTACACGAAATTGCATGAATAAGCCGAATAAAATGGCATATGAGCTCAGCCATTCGTAACAGCTTACGCGGTCTGTTATACACTCGTAATACTTTCAGCTTGAAATACGTTTCGGGGAAAAATAATAACTGGTGTAAAAATGAGAGAAATTTTGCTGGCGTTTCATCTTTTTATTCTTTTGTTAAACGATCTGGTAAAGTGGGAGTAAATTTGGAATGTTTTGGATATTTAGGGTGTCATGAGTTCGATTTTTATACCAAGCAATTGCAGAGTCTATAATAGAAATAGATGTTTTGGTCGATATAAGACGGTTTTAACTAAGAATCAATCTTATATACCCCAAAAAAAAAGCGGAACCTGTCACCCATAACACCTACGGTTCATACACTTAGGTTTTATGTTCCAAAAATGCAGAAGTCAGAACCGCAGGTGCGTTGTCACTGTGAGGACTAAGATGATATGCCTCTTGCCTGTAATTACACTGGCTACCTTATGGTTCAAACCGGAACACAACAATGCAATCATTGTTGCTAGGCGGCAGAAATAGATAAAGGGGGTGGTACCCATCCAGTAGGACTCCTTAGGCTTGACAGAGTCCTACCACCGGTGAAAATTTATAACTAATGACAATAAGAAAAATGTATGTAACATGGTGTTATATACATTTTATTTTACAACAACTTCATATTATATAATAATACTAGCGGACCCGACAGACGTTGTCCTGTCTACACGTCTTTAATTTGAAAATTTCAAAATTTTTTTAATAATTTTTTTGATGAAAATTATTATTCAAATTGTGAATCTAAACCATTCCCAGATCCCCTTGAACACACACAAAAAATTTCATCAAAATTGGTCCAGTCGTTTAGGAGGAGTTCAGTCACATACACACGCACACAAGAAATATATATATTAAGATATAAAACATGCTTTTACTCGCGAAGCTCGAAGTTTATGTAAATGCATAAATTTCTACGTAACTAAGACGAACCTCTCCGGAAATAAGAGTCGTAGCTGATCTTAGATTTTTCACCATTAAAAATATAAAAAATTTGAAAAATATTTTTTCAAATCAAAGCTTTGTGATATACGAGTACAATATTTGCTAAATTAAATTTTACTTGCATTGCAAAATAAATTACGATATTCCATAAAGAATGGAAAACAAACAAAAACAAATAATTTGTGAAATTTCATCAAAATCTACGTAACGTTGAGAGCACAAAGAGGAGCTGCCGATAGTAAAAAGTATATCAGATCAATGAAATAGAAGCCTCTCGGATGGTTCCTCATCAATTTCATTCGCCTCTTTTCAATACCTTTGTGGTTGAACTCAAAAAGTTTTTTTAAATCTTTTTAAAACCGTATAAATTACATTACTTTTTGAGAGAACGTGACCTGAGTATTATTATATAAGATATAGGTAGCTATTGAATAAAAAATGCATATTTTAATATATTTTCTTTTATTTTGGCTGTCATTTTGCAAGACTTTTCACTAAAAAGTTATTTTAACTTTAAATTGACTTTAATAATAGTTATTCCACACTTCGAGGAGTTTCGGTATGTAATTTATATGGATATGCCCACTTTAAGTGTAGCAACTATATGCATTGAAAAATCTATATATAAATAGGCACAGACAAAACTTATTGTTTATATATATATATGTGTGTGTAGTGTATCAACTATCCGGTATCCATAACACAGGCCTCGTAGCTTACCATGGAACTAGATGGTGGTGTGTGTTAATGTCCTTACAAATTTATATTATTATCGGATATGTTCTTTTTCTCTATTATTATTATATTATTATTAGCTATTGACAAGCTTTATGTGTTTACGTTATCAATATTTTTTTTTGGAAACCGTATTTTGTTTAATATAATGTTAGTTTTTTCTCCTCTGTTTGTCAAACGATTTTATTTTTTTAGAAGCTATTGATAAAAAAAATATTATGATCGAATTTCGAACACTTTTCACAAATTGTGGGCATAACGCATAACATACACCCGAATTTAAGAAACTCCTGCTTTTTTAAAGTCGGTCTAAGTTTACGTTTTAATGCTTCAAAGTACATACATACATATTTTACTAATGTAATTTTGATAGTGTAATCTGTTTGTTCAGTTTGATGCCTAAAAGTCTGGACCGTAATAAAATAAAGCAAGCACGTAGCCTTTAGGTGGAGAGGAGTACTCGTCATTTAGGGTCTCGTCGTATTTCAATATTCGGGCCTCGTGATATTTCAATGGTTACGATGGCTGCTCATATTTTAAATATCTCATATTTAATTTTGTAGGGTATTTTCCATTTATAAGTTATAAAGAAAGGACGTTGGAGCAAAAGATATTCGACCATCGTTGAATAAATTCTAAATTAAATATTTCACAGCAATTATGGCACAATGATACGATTCTCGACACCACAGATTGTATTTCTTATCAATGTTCTTTTGTGAATTTGTAAAGTCTTTGGTCTTTTTTTGATAACACTATATTATAATAGTGAAGTTTGTTTGTTTGTCTTTTCTTATGCTTTCATACAACTTAAGAGTGTATCTGCCACATAAGTAAAGTCACAGGCAAAAACTAGCAATTAAAACTGTAAACTATATAATTAAAATATAAAAAAAATAAACCACAAATAGATAATATAAAAATATAACAAAGTTTAAAGTTACCTGAACTTGCTGTCAAAGCTTCTGTAAATTGTTCTTTCCAAGATGAAGTCCCGATTATAATTGAGGCGTTTGCTCTTTGCACTAACTTATCTACAGTATTCTGTAAAAAAGATAATTTAAAGGATTTTTTAAAGAAATAGAAAATAAATTACAATTCATTAATAATTCCGGCTTTTGGTTAGAATATTTAAATTCGAGGGATTGATGTCGCTCTTGTATTATGGAAATGATTATCGAAATTGGTCATCTCATGGCAATATGGCAGGAAAAATTTTTAAATTTGATTTAAATGATTACCAATACCAATCTTTTTTATAATACTTTTTTTGTATTTAGTAATATACACATGTACCTATATATAATGTATTATAGTTTAAAAAAATGTTTTACAGTCATTTAAAATAATAACTTCAGTAGTTTTATATAAAAATGTGAATTATGTTATTGACTGAATGGTAGAATTGAACAGAAGCCCTTGAGCTCTACTACACATAAAGGCATGTTATTTGTTAATTTTATATCTCGAACAAGAATTATAAAAATGAACTTAAAACTTATTTTATTAGAATCAGTTATTAAAAGCTAAAAAACTGAAAAAATATATGACATTCATATTTCTGGATCTAACATCACTCTTTTTTTATGGTGTTCGGTGACAAACGAGCAGACAGCCCACCTGATGGAAAGCGGCACCTGTCGCTGGTTGGTTGAAGGTTTTATGTTACAAAAATGCAGAACCGTAGATGCGTTGTCACTGTGAGGACTAGGATGATATGCCTGTTTAGAGGCATATCATCCTAGTTTTCCTGACATCAGCTAGATTTTCTGCGTTTATGCATATTATAAAAACAAGATAAACTATTAAATGTTAATATATACAGATATTTATATAATAAATTCATACTTTGAAACCACGTATAATAACATAAATAACTACTATAACCATAGATAAAAAAATTAAAATGTCGCTGATTGCATGTAACAGAGATTGTTTCTCTTATGTAATATTCAGTTATTATATATGCCAGTTTGTAGATTTTGACAATAGATTTTTGATATGTCAAGGGAACAGTCGGTAATTCGGATTATATGAGTTAGGAATATAAAAATATAAATGTAAAATGAGTATACAGAAAAGAAGCGAGAAACATAATTGTTAATTGCCAAATATTTGTCTTCCTGGAAAACCCTTCTAAGCTGTTTTACTTATTTTATTCAATACTAGATTTTTTTAACAAATTTTAATCTAGCAACAATCATCGATCACTAAAAACAACCAATTTACAGAAAGATTTTTTAATATATAAATATTAACTTTCAAATTGCTGCTATATTGGCATAAAATACACATTTTACTTAAAAAAAAACGAAAACATATATTTCATTTATACATATATGTATATAAATAAATCATAGAAATAAAGCTTTGTTTTTAAAATAGAGTAAAAAGCTCTACTGTAAAGTACAAGTTATGAACAAGGTTTGAAAAAAAGCACTAACCTTGAATTCCTTGCTTTCTTTAACCCTGAGCTGGGCACGTGTTATTTCACCAGCGCGAGGGTACCCCATCAGGGCGACCACAGCTTCTTCTTCCGGAAGGGTTGTTAGATGTTCCACTTCATTGTCAGTAAGCACAGGTCGATTATCATCTGCGGAATATATGAAATTAGTTTTATATTTATCATAGTTTATGGGATGAGAAATTGATAATTTTTACAGAATTTATGGTGTAGGTCGTTATATAATTAATATAAGCTCGAAATAGAAAAAATGAGATAATTTTTGGCATATTAAAATGTTACGTTATTTTTAAATATCATTTAATTAGTCATTTCTGTAAAAATCACCGCTCATCCCAGTATATGTATTAATAGATACTTTAAGATAGTTAATTCAGAATTTTCAAATTGAAAAATAAATGATCGCTCTATTACATACATTTAAGCTTCTACAGCGTCGTCATGAAAAATATTTATCAACATTTTTTGACATTTTGGAAATACAATGAAACCAGATCATAATGCTAGCTGAAATGAACATGAACAAACATAAACTGTAACTCTATTTCAATGAAACTCTGTTCAGCGATGATTTGAAAATTTTCGTCCTTAATGTTCAAAACACACTCTCTTTAAAACAATTATACTATAATTATAAAGTTAAAGAGCTGTAACATTTCCATTATACGAATGAATATAGTCTTCCGTCCTTAGAACAGCTTTCCTAGAAGAAAATGCACCAACACTTAATGAAGAACTTAGATATATAGTATCGTAGGAATAATTATTGATAAGTAGATGAATTTCATTAGTTAGTGTAAAATTAACATTTAAAAAAAAGTTTATTTTATTTTAAATAAAACTATCTTTTCGGATTATTTCGCGGATTTATTTTGATTTTTGGATGTGGATTTATTTTATTATAATTAAAATAATTATTTTGCGAACAAGTAATATATTACACTGTACATATTGTGATGTATAAGTCTTAAAAATAAGAGTGAATAGCTAAACAGATACACGTTTAATTATCCTTAAATGCGTACGTCAATAGCAGTAAAATTAAAAAAAATTACAATATTATTAAATCTAAATGGACACTTTGATTTAAGTTTCTATGGTAATTCTATTCGAATCTAAATTCTATGGTTTCACTGAATAAACATAATAGGCTTTTCAGTGTAATGATTTGAAACACGATATAATTTCTACACGAAGTAATTTGTTCATGAAAATTAAATGTAATTATTTTTATTACCTACTAAGCTATTTGTTTTTATATTATATATTTCTCCATTTTATAGTACCTAGAAAATTTGAAATTTGTCTTCACTTTAAATGAATAAATAAAGAGTACTTAAAAAACCGTCCATAATTGATATATCAAAGGAAATCGACTGTTTCATTTAAAAGTTGACTGGAAATAAATACTAACACTACTTAAATAAGTACAAATTATTAAAAAAAATATATCAACAAATATATTAGTATTGAAGCCTGCAAGGAACAACATTATAACTCTATCTATACATATAATAAAATTGTAACTAAGTCGAATCTGTACATTAAATATTTTTTGGAAAATCTAATTGAAATAGACATTATTATCGATACTGAGTCCGAATCTATAGTTTTTAGAATTTTTGTCAGTCTGTCTGTCTGTTACCGCATCACGAGAAAACCACTGGACAGATTTTGATGAAATTTGGTATGATGATAGCTGGTTATCCGGGTCAACATATAGGATACTTTTTACCGCGGGAAAATGTCTCATTTCTGAGAAAAAGTACAAAAACTGCATTGTAAGAGTATACTAATATGTAAAACCTAAGAATTTGGTTTTTTCGAAGCCGCGGGCAATGCTAGTGTACCTATATAGTGTTAATTTTGAATATAATATTATAAGAAATTAATTTCTATTTTTAAATGAACTCAGTACTGAATTACAATGTTGTTCTTTACAAGAATCAACTGTCAATACAATTAGCGCTTGCAAATTAAAACGTTGTCATTACGATATATTCCTCAATGAATTTTAATTATCTTTTCAATTCATTATCATGATTTGTTGGTGTTTCATTATTCTTAGTGCCTTTTTAATTAGTGAGGTGACTTTAATATATCATTTACATATTATTTGACATTTATATATTTGTGTTTTTTTTATGAAATTTGTTTTTATGAAATTAATTTGTAATAAAACTTACAGCTAAAAAAATTTTCTAGTATTATTTATATACATATATATACTAGCGGTCTACCATTTCATTCAGGCCTTAATTATCCTGAACGTGCTTCAAAAATATATACATATGTACAATACATACATACATACAATAAAACTTATTAATTGTTCTATTATATACAATAGTAAAACTCAAATTATCTGACATATTAAATAATACTATCTTATTGGATTTTTTCGCGGATTTATTTTAATTTTTGGTTCCCGACGTTTCGAATGCTTTACAGCAACATGGTCACATTCGAAAAGATAGCTTTATTTAAAATGTTAAATATTCGCGTGTATCTAAGAAAGTATTATCTAACAAGTAAAATACAACTGTACAAAGTTATTTATAATATTTAAATAAAACCCATGTATTTCAAATACGGCTTTAAAAAACCCCAATACTAATTTCACGACTAAAATGCTGTCTGTACCTGGCGGCTGGTCTCCACAATAACCTTTTGATGTGATAGAACAATAGTATGAAATGCACGGACATTATGCATTATACCAACTGACAAGTTAGCTTAGAATTGCTAATCGTAAATCAAAAACTCCTTTTGTGTGGAACAAATGTTAGCAATGAGGTAAATCCATATGGAAATGCAGATTTATTGTAGGAGTTAAATAGATCACGAACAAACATAACTAGAAAATTATTTTTGGATTACTTATAATATATGTATACTTTAGAAACTCAGACTAAGGAAAAAATATAAAGGCAAATTGTAATGTTTTATAATAAATATACAAATATTATTAAAATAATCTTAACTGTGATAAGTAAAAAAATGTTAATGAAAAAACGTGTTTGTGTACATATACAGTAAGATGTTATATTTTTTTGGCGTGACAGAACAAAAATAGCTAAAGATTTTATCCCGTATGTCACAACTCTCTGTTTGTAAAAGGAATGCAGCTAACTTCATCATGTCGCTTTTTGGCTGTCGGTGTGGGCGTTCCTCGCCAAAATTTTACTCTCATATATTTTGCCAAAAGAAGTATAACTTCAAAAATGGCTAACGAATTTTATTATAATAATTTAAAAAAACAGTTAATACTATACTATCTCTCTTTCAACGAAAAGAGAACTAATGCTTATAAAATACAAAAAAATACAGTATAATTTTTATCATTCATACTTTATTCTCAAAAATTGTAAATAACGACGAATATATATATGAAAAATTACTAAGTAAATTCTTTAGTCTGAGTTTATATTTAATTATTAATAATCTATATCTAATTTTAAAGAATATTGTAAGTCATTATATACTACAATAAAATGTAAAATGATTATAAATATCTATCTTCATTAATCGTATTCCAATTAACACAGAAGACTTTTGGCAGCACATTCCTTAATCCTTTTGTCTCTGTCGCTTTTCCGCCATTTTTATCTGACGTCTGTCAAAGAAACAGTGCACTCTCTATGTCTATGGTTGTAGATAAATAATGATGTTATTAAAAACCTCTTAAAATCGATTAAAAAAAATATTACAGTGTCTTAGAAGCTTGAAATCGATACTTACTCTTCACCTGTCAAAAAAGTACCTATAGGTATAATGTAAACAGTAAAAAAATAAAACATAAGATACGTATATATAGCGGATATAATACTTTCTATATGGACCAGTGATAAAGCAATTCTACTCAAATGTGGAATATGACAGACCAAATAGCAGGTAAGTTATATAACAAATCCTTACTTGTTACACACAGACAGTCCATCCATCAAGCGTGCGAGAGAGTGAAGAAAATTTTTATATATTAGATAATTATATACATGCAAATAAGTGCAGTGTAGGCATTCAAATAAATAGAAAATATTTACAAAATATTATTTACAATTTAGTTTTGAATATATAATATTATTTATGAAGTAATGTGAGATAACACTATATAATGCTTCATGATGTTTTTTTTTAAATCCATTGTTTTATTTCACCTAGTCAAGGTTGTTGGTACTAAAAACGCGGGAAAAATATCAAAATCCCCTCCATCCCCCCATCTCTTTTTTTTATATATTCATATCGGCTAAGATTGCTTCAACAAATGTTTTATATCTATTATTCAATTATTATATGTAATTTTTTAATTATTCATTTTTTTCAATAAAAGTAATAAAACTTTTGGTATAGTTTCCCCAACCTTAGGGATTTATTTGAAAATTCGCTATTATTTTTTATAATTCATGAGTAAATGGTTAGTTATGTATATATGTATACTTTTTTATTTTATCTGTTATAAATCTGTCTAAATCAATATTAGATTTATTTTTATATACTTGTAGAAGTGCTAAAGATAACAAAAGGAAACTCAAAGAAAACACGCATATGAAAAATAGGTTTAGACATTACAATTTATAGGTGTGAGTAAACATATGGGAATATAAATTCTACTGTTCATGCTTTTGTAGAGATTGGAAACGACTACAAAAGAATTTTAATTTTTTTACAAAATACATAAAAGTGTATTGTTATACTCAATCTTTTGAAATCTAAGCATTCCGTGTGAATAAAACGATTCAACTTTGTTTATATTTACCTCCTTTCTATATATATATATATATATATATATATATATATATATATATATATATATATATATATATATATATATATATATATATATATATATATATATATATATATATATATAAAGATTGGAGACAACCCCCCTGTTTGTTTTATGTTTCTGTTAATGTTTTGGTTCAAAAAATATATATCGCCTGGAAAGATTAAGGGGACCACCACATAAATCGGGACCTTATACTAAATGTTTGTTCTAAAGATTCTACCTTTACCATACCATATCGATTTATTCTATAAAATATTGACGGCGTATTATTTCACTTTTAATTGGTTCGATTACCAGTTCAAGTAATATTTTAAAACTTATTTTAATGCAGTTATTGTTT